TTTTTTTTTTTTTTAAACAGTCTATAAAAAAGGGGCTCCGTCTGATTTAGACTCACTGAAGACCTCCAATTGTGGCCTGATTATAGAGACAGTCACATCACTGCACACAGAGCTGGAAGCAGCAGAGCCAATCACAATGCACACACAGTATACTATCAGAGCTTATCATAATGACCCTGGAGGTGAGGACCCAAAACAGCAGAGTTGGAGGGGGTACCCCAGCCTCAGCACATACACAGAAATAACCCCTTTCCCCCTCCTTCCAAATTCATCAACTGCAGGAAGAGAGTGGTGGAAGGGACGCAGAGAGGAGTCCCAATGATTGAAACAAAACTCTTAATACGATGGCATTTAAAAGCCAAGTTCCCTTCCTGAAACAAAAAAAAAAAAAAAAAAAAAAAACACAAATTTTTGAATAAGGAAAAAAAAAAAGTGCATTTATTATTTTTTTTTACAGGAGTCTGTAGAGCATTGCACATCCAGGACAGTGGCTCACAGGTGCAATATTAGGCTCATGCAGACTCATCAGTGCCCTCACAGTCCATTGGAAGTTACAAGCCATCTGCTGCAGAGGCAGATGGGACTTGGTTCTTCATTTACAGATTCCTGCAAAGTATTGATGCAGCTGGGGTGGGGGAGCACCACAATTTTAAACCGTGACAGTGGCTGCAAGGGTGAGCAACCACCATCCACTCTCACAAGGAAGGGGGGGGGCTAGGGGGTCTGCTTAAAAGGTGTAACAAAAAGGTGAACCTACAAAAAAAAAAAAAAAAAAAAAAAAAAAGAGCCATACACCCCCCCCCCCCCCCCCCCCCCCCCCCCACACACACACACACACACACACACTGCAGTCAAGCAAATGTTTTTATTTAGTCACATGACAAGGGGCAGAATTTGTACAAATGGAGCCCTGGATACTACCAATTTAGGCAGGGGAGTGGGTGGCACATGCACTAGGTAGTGGAAGATATAAGCTGTTGGTGGGCACCAATAACAATCTTAGATTACAAATTTGGGGGCAGGGTATCATAATCAGCTGTTCATTAGATCAGATTTTTCTGCAGAGCCCAATTACACTTTTGAACACATTATTAGTGCATGCTAGCACATTAGGTCATAAAAACTTGCAGTACAGGCAACTCTTCACCTAAACCCTGGTATATGTGTCACCAGATTAATGTTAATCCCTTGGTGGCAGAGGCCTTATGGTGCACAGGATCTTTTCCAATCTGCCAGTGTAGCAATGCCAGCACTCACACAAACAAAAAGCAGCTATACAGAATATAAAGCTGTGCTTGAAACCTTGAAGAAAAGTTAGTATTTGCTTATTCAGAAAGGTTGTGATTCTCAGAACTCACATTAGGCAATAGATACTTCATTTTGTATGCATTTACCTGCATATTATAGCCATTATGCTAGTTTGTAGACCAGCGATCAAAGAAAAAATTCTTAACACAATCCATAATTAAAAATGAGCAAAATCCCAAATTTATGTATGACTTTTCTGCAAACTTGTGTAACAAGCATCTAGAATTCCAGGTGCTTCAGGCGATCCAAATACATTAAAAATGTACAACCTGCCAACTCCGTACATCAGCGTACAAGGCCAACTTATTCCTATTTATTGGTAGGAATGGGATCTGTCAAACCCTGCTTCTAATGCAGGATAATCATTCCTGTACTACTCCGCTGCTCTCTCCAATACAGGAGAAACTCAGTATCAGTGCAAAGTCATTTCTCACAGCCAACAGATTCAAAAACACATGTTGAATGTCAGATGTAACTGGTAATACAGGAAGCAGATTACACAATACATATATCAGAAAATACACTCCCCCCAATGACCCCATGAGGTATTCTCTAGCTACAGGGAATTACACAACTGTGAACTTTGCCTATAAAACACAAATACTGTATATCTAAGCGCCCTTATTACTATGATTTACTGCCTGAAGGTTTTTTTTTCCCTCTGTAATTTCACTCGTCTTAGACTGGAGCTTAAGATAGTTATAAATCCTTAAATATACCCAGTGAAGCGAGTGACCTCAACTGATACAGATTAAATAATCCTGCATAAATTGTACCCGTTTATCTGTAGCCATCTCTGCTCTACAGCCATTCACAGTACAGAATTTATACAGCTTGTCTGAGCTTCCAGAAAGAAGGGAAGCTTTTTACCTGTGTCAGGAAATCCTGTCAGAAGTGACTCTTGCTTATAACAGAGGAACAAGGTAGCAGACAGAAATTACATTTACTGCTCTGAACTGAGACAAGCATACATTATAGAAAGAGGTGGTATAAATAAGGTCACTACACTATAACATTTCTCAACTAAAAACACCACAACAACAGGTTGAAGTACTACATGTGTTTATTAACCCATTGTGACATTTTAAGAGTTAGCATTGGGTCCCTTCTTCTTGCCAAAAGTGGGCACAACATTGACAAAGCGCCTGTTGTATTGCATGCGCCTCTTTGCCCGGCCAGTCTTCTTTTCTTCTTCTTCTCTTGCTTGGCCACCTGCAAAACACAGTAAATATATAGTAAGCAGAATGAATATAGAAAATACAAGACTAATGACATTACTAGTGAGTGGTTTACATGTAAACATAGAATGTAGAAATCTCTCTCAATTAACCAGGAACCAACAGTGCTTTCTAGTCTTGCACCACACAGCTACTATTGGGAGAAAATACCCGACTATTAAGTTGGTTTATCTTGAAGCCAGAAATAATATGCTTACTTTTGGAGTCTGGCCCCGTACTTTTCCGGCACGAGCTAGAGAACCATGGACTTTACCTGTTCAAAAGAAAGCATTTTACATATTAGGCATTACAATTATAGAAGGATATCATAAAACCATGTCATTAAAAAGAAAATCTATCCAATCTCTCAGGGATTTCTGTGGCAAGATATTCTCACCAGAATTCCAAGCTCAGTTTCACCTAACCACCAAAACAAGACAAAATGAGAATAGGAGCAGCCAATATTAAAGAGTCCACACCACCAACTTAAAACTTGCAGGTAAAGCAAAAAAAGTGTTTTAAATGCTTTTTTGCAGTGTTTTTCCTCTCCATAAATGTTGCATTCATTTGCAATGCCTTTGAACTTCATTGAAAGATTGACTTTAGTAACAATCCATTCCCTAGCAACACCCTGCTGGCACATCACAGCTTTCTCCTGGAAGTCTTTAATTATGCTGTGCTGGCCTAGCTCCTCCACAAATCCTTTTATGCAGCTGCTGGAGAAGAAACAAAGCGGCAGACAGTCTGCTAGGGCTGTTCAAATCTCATCCAAGATCATGATGCTAAACAGTCTCAAGACTTTTGAACATTTACAGGTAAACTTCATACAATTACAAAATGCACATATAATCTTGTAGAAAGGATTTTGTAACAATGAATAGTTCAGTGACAACCTTACATGGAATGACAAACTGAAAATGGATTACTCAATTCGCAGATAAAAAGCTTACCAGACCACCATTCTGCAGAATGCGCGCACATTTTAATGAAGTAGACCTTACACACCCTTTAATACAGTTATTATATTAAAAAAATATATGTAATTTTACTCTGAGGAAGGGGTGCAATTTAGAGGACTAACACTTTGCACAACATTGCCATCTTATGTTTCACCATAGACTGAGGGTCTATTTTGGTTCAGCTAAACCAACCTCTCTCAACCAGGGTGCCCAGACACCCTGGGGTGCCTTGGCAAAAGGTCTAAAAATTGCCCAAAACTTGTATACAAGCCAGTGGGTGGACAGGCCTTTTAGTTAATAAATCGCTTCTAATGTTGGGTGTCCTACAAATGTGGATATTGTTGCATTATAAAAAACTATTAGAATAGTTTCTCATATTTTAGCATGGGGTGCCCTTTTAAAATTTTGGACAGTCTTGAGGCACCCTATTTTAGAATGGGATGCCTCAAGACTGTCCATAATTTTAAAGGATGCCTCGGGACTACCCATAATCTTTAAAGGGTGCCTTGACTGAAAAAAGGTTGGGAAACACTGAGTTAAGCAATGTAGTAGACAGTAGGGGGGGGAGGATATGAACGATGAAGGAAGATGCTGGAGGACACCAGCAACCAGGATGTCCCCCCCCCCCCCCCCATGCAGCAAATAAACAACTCTTCCAGAAAAATGATTAACCAACAAGGATATGTACCTTCCATAGACACAACATCCTTATCCGTTTCTGGAGACAAATGGCCAGATCAAATAAATCATCAACTGCCTAACACTGAACAGAGGGGGTGGCCACATTAGGGGCCAATGCCACTATGCATTAAGACATGTTTTAGTAAGGAAGCCCATTCATGCTGAGAAAGCTGGCAGCACACTATGTGGCTATGTCTGTCTGTGCAGGGATGGTGGTGGGGGGTTGGCATGTTTTGTGGTGTGCTACATTGCCTGTTCTGTAGTAGTGCATTGAGGTACCATTCAATAAAGTGAAAAAAAAAGCATTATCACAACAGCCAGGTCACAATGGTAGCCTTCATGCTTCATCATATATGGTTGTCACCTGTGTACAATCGTGGGCATCTTGCAACTTCCATATTTTAATACTTTATTCCACTGGTCTAATGCAGTTTTAGGCAGTGTTCAAGCCAAAAATGCACATCTTAAAAAGCATATGGTAAATGTTGATCCTGCACTAAAGGGTTTAACTACTTTAACAGTTTCATCAGGCTAGCAAAGATGAAGGCACTACAAAGAAAAACCTTAGTCATTTTCTCTACACTAACACATAAGGTGAGATAATTAACTGTTTCATTGGGTTTGAAGGCTGCCGAATTGTGCTCATGGATAATTGAATCTATTAGAGCAAGGTGGATTTTTACAACATATAATTGGGATCATGAAATGATTGTCTAGAGAAGTGTGGTTATTGGTTCAAAGTAGGAAAAGGATTCCAATGAAATAAAAACCTATGTATTCTTCGTTACCCAAACACACGTGGGACTAGGCCCAAGGGAAAGAATTAGCGATAGGCTCAAACGCCTGAAGTTCTACATTGCACCCTGAAATACTGACCTCCCAACAGACGAGCAGCAACATCCAAGGTGCTGAGATCACATACTCCACTCTGGATGAGGGTGTCTTCATCAGACAAGGGGGAACCAGCAAGAAGAATAACTTGGTCTTCACAGGCAATTCCCTCTAGAGAGGAGATTTGAGCCTGAAAGAGAAGATCAAATTGTAGACGTGACATGAAGCATGGCTATGGTTTAAAAGTGCCAATAAGATCAAAATTATATACAGTGGTCACAAGTTGAAATTCATTCTATATCAGTATCAGACTCGAAGTACACGGTGCAGAAAGCTGAATGCTAGATTTAAAACTGGAGATCCATTGAAACCGGTTACTTTATATATTTGGATCAAAATTCAGTGTAAAATATTGTTGCATCAATAGAGATTCACTTGGAAGGAGTTGCTTTGCTAGCATAGTTAAATTATATAAATAAAAATGATGGTGCCATGTCGACACTGATGTGTGTTTGGGGTGCATGACATACTCAAAGGAAGCAGGATCTGTGCCTGACTGGTCATTATTCCCAGCAATCAAATACCTGACAAACCCTGCACCCATTTTCCTCTGATGTACTCTGCTTGCTGTTACTTGTACTGCAATCAATCCTAAAAAGTGAGAATACCGAGCCTACCACGAAACACTTAGAAAGCCAAGATCAAATATTCAAGACATAGTACTGACTGTATATTTACTTCTGGAAGCACAGAAGGGCGTACTGTAACCTGCATTTTTTTTAATACAGTTATCCTTTAGTCTAGATTCACACCTATGTGTTTTTTTCCGTTGCATTTTGCAGAAATGCAGAACAGTCAATTTAGCATAATTTCCTATGGGACAGGTTCCCATCTCTGTGTTTTCACCCGGTGCGTTTTTTTGTACAGGATCAGGGATTTTTTAAAATGCAAAACGTTGCATTATTGTTTCTATAGACTTCAATGGAGACACTACAGAAAAGCAGGTAGTGCATTTCTGAAGTGTTTTAATTTGACTAGCAACAAGTGTGAAAAAAAAGGTCAAAAACGTGCAAAAAGCACTGCAGAAACAGATCAAACGCAAACTGCATAGGTGTGAACTTAGCCTTAAACAGTTTGATCATTTACACTTACCTTGATAGCGGATACAGTTTCCAGGCCAGACACCTCAAGGGTGTGTAGATTCTGTGCTCTTACGAAAAGCTGCATGGCTGCTGCGAAAAACAAAACATCTTATATTACAATAATGTTAAAGTGCATGTATACAATCCACACACACTTACCCGCAGACTGGTTGTATGTGCCGGAATCACACCTGCAGCCAAATTTTGCTGCCCTTGTGAGATGCGCAGGGCTGCCATTCATCTGAATAGCACATCTCAGTCTACAGCGCGGTCACGGGAACCGCATGGTGAAAAAAAAGACCATGCTATTTACCTGCGGATGCATTGTTGAGAAGGTGCATGCACCTTTCTTGAGAGGGAAAACCCTTTTCACTGCCAGATTCATTTTGTTATTTTATGCACACGTTTAAAAAAATCATTTTAGGCCTGAAGATTGCATAAAACCCCCCAAAACATAACTTTTATGAAAGCAGATACCTTAGAGAATAAAATGGTGATAGTTCCAATGTTTTTATTATGAAACACGGTATTACCACAAAGGTCTAGGAAAATGCAAAATGTCAGTATACACACTAAAGTTAATTTTAAGGTACACAAATGCAATTACCCAATTTTGGGGTAAAATATTAAAGATGAGGTTGCACTGAGTAAATAGATACCAAACATATCAAAACTTAAATTTGGGTGCACCCGTGAAATGGCAACAAGCTTCAGTACCCTATATATTCCATAGGCAAAGATTCAAAAGCCGCCTATAGATCATCAGTTTAGCATTAAGAAGGTCTGGTGCTAGAATTCTCACCACGTACGCCGGAGTGAGAGCAATATGCAACATGTGTATCGCAACCGTGCGTAGGCACCCCCAACCCATGTGTTTACATTAGTATGTGCTTATATGCGAGGGGTGGGGAATTTTATGTGCTTGGGTGTAATATTAATTTTTTAAAATTTACATTTTTTTCTTTTTAACTCCCCCCCCCCCCCCCTCCATCACATAGGGGACAAAAATTCCCCTGTATGATAACTTTTTGGTGACAGGTCCTCTTTAATGAGACATTCAGGGTCTAAAAAAAAAAAACTTTGGATGTCTTCTTTGTACTTCACTAAGTGAATGCAATGCAGATCAGACTGCAATACATTCTCTCAGCCATACTGGCTTGAGAAACTGACATGAAGTCCAGGAAGTGATAAACACATCTCTTTCCAGGTCAGTAACAAGGATGGGAAGAGAGCAGATGTGTGTCTGCTCTCCTCAGTCTCCTCCACCTGCCAGCACCAGCTATGTCAGTCCTGGGCCCGTAGATCTTGTGATACATGGTGGGGGCACGCACCATTATGGGGGTGTGTGGAAGCATTTGGGCAGCAGCACAGCCACCTGAATGCTTCCACCTGGCAGGCAGGAGTCTGCCTGTCAGATTTACACACAATACCAGTGGCTGCAACCACCAGGAATGTACACTGCTCAAAAAAAATTAAAGGAATGCTTTGAAAATACATCAGATCTCAATGGGGATAAATATCATGCTGGATATCTATACTGATATGGACTGGGTAATGTGTTTGGAACGTTATAATGCCCCATCGTTTGATGGAAATGAAAATTATCCACCTACAGAGGACTGAATTCAAAAACACCCCGAAAATCAAAGTGAAAAAACGATGCAGCAGGCTAGTCCATTTTTGCTGCAATTTCATTGCAGCAACTCAAAATGGTACTCAGTTTGTATAGCCACCACGTGCTTGTATACATGCCTGATGCTGGAGCATGCTTCCAATGAGACAAATTGTGTCCTGGGGTATTTCCTTCCAGATCTGGACCAGGACATCACTGAGCTCCTGGACAGTCTGAGGTGCAACCTAGCGGTGTCGGATTTAACGAAACATGACATCCCAGATGTGTTCTATTGGATTTAGGTCAGGTGAGCGTGGGGGCCATTCAATGGTATCAATTCCTTCATCCTCCAGGAACCGCCTACATACTCTCACATGAGGCCTTTGTCATGCCCCAGGAGGAACCAGAACCCACTGCACCAGCATAGGGTCTGACAATGGGTCCAAGGATTTCATCTTGATACCAAATGGCAGTCAGGGTGCCATTGTCTAGCCTGTAGAGGTTTGTGCGTCCCTCCATGGATATGCCTCCCCAAACCATCACTGACCCACCACCAAAACGGTCATGCTGAACGATGTTACAGGCAGCATATCATTCTCCAAGGCTTCTCCAGATCCTTTCATGTCTGTCGCATGTGCTCAGGGTGAACCTGCTCTCATCTGTGAAAAGCACAGGGTGCCAGTGGCAGAGCTGCCAATTCAGGTGTTCAACACAACTGCCAATCAAGCTCTATGGTGAAGGAAGGAAGCCCAGGGCCCACTAGAGGACGTTGATACCTCAGGCCACCCTCATGAAGTCTGTTTCTGATTGGGCTTTGACATTCACACTAGTGGCCTGCTGGAGGTAATTTTTTAGGGCTCTGGCAGTGCTCATCCAGTTTCTCCTTGCATAAAGGAGAAGATACCAGTCCTGCTGATGGGTTAAAGACCTTCTACGGCCCTGTCCAGCTCTCCTAGAGTAACGGCTTATCTCCTGGAATCTCCTCCATGCTCGAGACTGTGCTGGGAGACATAGCAAACCTTCTGGCAATGGCACATATTGATGTGCCATCCTGGAGGAGTTGGACTGCCTGTGCTACCTCTGTAGGGTCCAGGTATTGCCTCATGCTACCAGTAGTGACGCTGACCCTAGCCAACTGCAAAACTAGTGAAAAACAGTCAGAAAAGAGTAGGGAAAAAATATCAGTGGCCTCCTCCTGTAAAACAATTCCTGTTTTGGGGGTAATCTCATTGTGCCCACCTAGTGCACCTGTTAATTTCATTAAGACCAAAGCAGCTGAAACTGATTAACAACCCCTCTGCTACTTAACTGACCAGATCACTATCCCAGGAGTTTAATTGACTTGATGCTAGACTCGGAGTAAAAAGTGTTCCTTTACTTTTTTTTGAGCAGTGTATATAAAAACCCCTGCTGTCAGGTCTGTATGATGTACGGACCTGGCAGCAAATGGGTTAAAAGGGATAAACCATGGGAAATGTACATGTATGGCAGAGATGTACTGCATATTTATTCTGCAGTGACATATGCTAATCTAGAACAGTGACAAAACTGCATACAGTGTTATGAAATCGATTCAACAGGGGGAATACAGATGAACTCATGAGTGTTTGGATCCCAGGCCCATGCTGTCTAATCCATTCTGCCAGGAAACTCACTGTACACCAACCGCTAGCCATAAGCATCCAGGGAATTCTCCACACCGCAGCTTCACATATATGAGGGGGGGGGGGGGGATATGGGCAGCTTCAGGGAATGCCTCAGTAGCTTTTGATTGGCAGTGCACAATGATAGCTTCCTGTTGGGATAGCTCAGGCAGGTTCAGACTAGGATCTGAACACTTCTGGGCTCATTCCAAATGGAGAAGCACAGCCCTTTACAAGATTTACACACATAAGGGATATAAATATATGGCATATGAAAAAAACACAAAAAAAAAACAAAACTAAAACCCTAAGCAGAGGCTATCTCGTGACCCACAGAAGTAGGACCAAAAGAGCTTTGGCCATACTTCTCTTAAGGGGCCATTCACACTTGTACAGAGCTGTTTAGTGTGTGGCCAGTAGTCTGATTTGGAAACCAATAGCAGAGCTCAGTAAAAAAAAACATCCAATGTATTGAGAAAAAAAAAAAAAATATAGCATCCACTTACATCACTGAAAGACCAGCCTGGTAATGAAACATGTCAGCTAGTGAAGAAACCGCTGTATATCAGTGGACTGAAGGAAGGGTCCAGGATCCACACACTGCCAATGCTGTGGAACCAGCAGCGTCAGGAAGATGACAGGTTGCCGGCAATGCAAAGAGCAAGAACCAAAGCAACTGCAGAAGGGAGACAGCAGGAAGCTCTAGAAAATCTTCCATGGTGTGGACTTGACAAAGGGTTTATTTGCCTGGAAACAGGTTGTCTTCCTCCCTTGTGCCCCCCCCCCCCCCAAAGAGTTTTCTGGTTGCCTTCATCGTAGTGCTGCCTCCCTGCTGCAGCTGCTTTGGTTCTTACTCTTTGCATTGTTGGCAACGTGTCATCTTCCCATCCCTGCTGGTTCCACAGCATGGACAAAGTGTGGATCCTTGACCCTTTCATCACTGGCTGACATGCAGCTTCATTACCAGTCTGATTTTCACTCTCTGTATTGTAAGTGGATGCTATTTTTTTTTTCTTAATGCAATGTTTTTACGGCCATCACCTTGCTATTGGTTTCATTTTTCCTGAGGTTGGTTTCCCAAGACAGCTGCACATGCTGCGTCTGGTTGATCCCAACCCTGAGCACCACCATCCCTCCTCTGCTCCTATCCCAGGGACAAGATCGCCACCCTACGGGACTGTCCTGGCTCCCACAGGTTTCTGGGCTTTTAGAATTTGCCAGGACGCAGACTAGCGCTACATTTTATTGTCATCTGTTTTTGGGCTGCAGCAATGTGCATTTTTCAGCTCCCATATTTTCAGGAACTTTATTTGAAGTGTACAAAGTTCATGTTACCGCACAGCAGTGCAATGACATTCGGTGCAATATTATGTAGCATGTCTAAATATGATCACATCTCACCTCTGGACTGTGCTGTAGTGAGAATGGGGCACATAGAAATAAACGGTGAGGTTCACCAGCATTCTCAGTGTGGAAAACTGCCACTCATTACTGTGGTGTGAATGGGCCCTTAGATGGTAATGCTGTACCAAGGGGGCCCTTTGGGTATAACATTGTGCCAGGCGGCGAACCAACTGCCCCCCCTTCCGACAGCGTGCGAGGGCTCCTCCAACCACAGCTAGCACCAGATATGAAATCAGCACATATCTCTGATCGGTCACATGGCCATACCGACCAATGAGAATCTCTTCTTCCTCCCAAGAAGCGCCCCCCTGAAGAAGACTCCAGAGATTCTCATTCATTAGATTGTAATGGCAGCTGAATGTTCCTTACAGAAGAAATCGGACAGGAGATCCCATGAAACTATCAGCAGGAAGCAGAATAGGTCAATAGGAGGCGCTCTTCTCCCACCTGATCCAGATGAGTACATATGGACCCTTCAGACTCCTAGGGCCTCATGATCATGTCTGCACACTGACATGGAATGGGCAATTCCGGGCCAGGGCAGTGAACAGCATCACGTGTGACATGAGGGAATTACGAGAAGCTGTGCTGCCATGAATGATGGGAGGGCTGCCCCGTGACTGAGGCAGCGCGCCCCGCACACACCACGTGACCACGCAGGAGCCGCTGCCTGACACACTTCCCCACTACCACCAGCCTGACTTCCATCACTGCACCCCTCCAACCACAAACTATCACCCAACAACTCCTCACCGGCCACTCCGCGTCTCTCAAAATGGAGGAAAGAAAGAGGAGGGAGCAGGAGCGCGCACGTATCTTATTCCAACACATGGACGCGCGCGTTTACGACATGACGTGCAGCCCAGTTTTTTTTTCCGCCACATTGCTACACCCACTTCAAGTTCCTGACCGCTGCAGACAAGCGCATGCGCTTAGAGGAGCGGAAGCTCCGTGTCCCTTTTGGTACACCAAGTGGAAAAGGAAACTGGCCTCTTTTGCTAAACCAAGATGGCGGCCTCCTTGTGGCGAAGGGCAGTGTTAGATGTGAAGACGGCTCTCAGGATACAAGTGTGTGGCTCTTCGTGTTATTCTGTGTCTGTTAGATTTAATTATTGTTTTTTTAGTTTATAGGGGGGCTTTATCTTTTAAGGGGACCTTAGATGTGTGGGAGCTGCCATCTTGTTTTGAAGGTAATGGCTTTGTTTGGTCACTGTCCTTGAACCGTGTAGTCGGAGACGTTGCTGGGCAGTGGCTGGTTGATGAAGAATGATGAGGATAACCCTTGTGAGCTCCATCCAGAACACACTCCTTTTAGAGGAATCCAGCACCTCTATAATCCATGTCTCCTCCTTCCTTTTCAGCGCCCATGCAGTGGGTCCGGATCTGCTGTGACATCTCAGTACCCGGGTATTGTAGAGTCACATGATGAATATCGCTTCGTAGAGCGTCTCATCCCATCTGTTCAAGTGCCCGACCCACCAAAGCACACAGGAGTGACCCCATCTGGGTGGATCCCCCCTAAAGGTACTCTCATTGACACGTTCTCTCCAGGAGATGCTCTTTGCTGTAGTGCTGGTGTTGGAATCCTCCTGTAGGGACGATTCGTAAAGCGGTAGGATTCATAGATATGCTTGGTGCTCCCACAGCATTCGGATTATTAAAATAAATAAATGATTTGAGGAAAAACTATCGGGGTCATATCATGTTATCTCCTTCACCTTCCTAGTTTTGGCTGCCACATTAAAGCAGGACAAGGATCTGCAATCCACGCAGCTCCAATGGTCTGATGCTGACAAGGTCCCTCACTACCACCTTCTCCCCAGATTCCTCTGGATGTACGACTTTGACTGTCTTGATAGGCAGGCATTAGATGATGTAACTTGCTGGAAGGGCCTTTTTTTTTTTTTTTTTTTTTAATGGCAGAAGAGACATTGACATCCATGTCCCATCTACCGTAAACAGGCTTCCTGCTCACCTTTTGTTTAACCACTTGACGGCCAGTGATGTACTGGTATGTCACTATATTTCAAGTATTTATACCAGGATGATACCTTGGTGTGATCACATGCTTTTAAGGGCAGAGGAGACATCTAGGGTCTGATAGACCCCAGAACTTTCCTTAAAGAGTACCTGTCATTGCCTATTGCTATCACAGGGGATATTTTACAGTATATTCCCTGTGATAATAATGAAAGTGATCTTTTGAATTTTACCAAACAGTTGGGTATTATATAATTGTGTTTTTGTGCATTACAATTCAAAAGTGTATTTTTTCCAAAAAAAAAAGTGTATTTGAAAAACCGCTGTAAAAAATCCTGTGTGACATAAAACATTGCAATACCCACCAATTTATTCTTTAGGGCGCCTGCTTTAAAAATATATATATTGTTTGGGGGGAGGGGTTCTTAGAGATTTTTTAGCAAAAAATACCGAATGACATGTAAAAAAACAAATTGTCAGAAAAGGCCTGGTTTTAAAGTGGTTAAAGCCTACATCCAAGTTTAACCTCCCTGGCGGTCTAACTGATAAATATTTTTGAATGTCATAGCGGTACATTGTTTTCCATGGAAATTTGTTGTTTTATATTGTAGGCCTGTAATTCTTAGGAATAACTCACTTACCGTATTTTCTGGCGTATAAGACGACTTTTCAACACAAGAAAAACTTCTGAAAAGTCGGGGGTCATCTTATACGCCGGTATACGGCGAGCCGGTGTCAGGGCAGCACTTTTTCGAGGGGCAGGGCGGCGCGGCACCACCCCCCCTCCTCCTTCAATGGACACTAAGTACAGGGGTGGGCAGAGGGGCTGCTGTACCTTACCTGGCTCCGGTCCCACGACGATCCGGTCCAGGAAGCGCAGCTGCTCCTTCTTTCAGTTCGGCCGCTCGATGGACGCGCGGCCGCTCGGCTCCGCCTCCTCACCGGTGATTGGGTGCCAGCACTGGAAAGGCACACAGGCGACCAATCACCGGCCAGGAGGCGGAGCCGAGCGGCCCCGCGAAAATCTGAAAAAAGGAGCAGCCGCTGCTCTTCCCCACTGACACTAACGATGGGGCACTATTCCTCCTCCACTGACACCAACGATGGGGCGCTATTCCTCCTCCCCACTGACACCAACGATGGGGCGCTATTCCTCCTCCCCACTGAAGAACGATGAGGATAACCCTTGTGAGCTCCATCCCCACTGACACTCAACTTTTAGAGGAATCCAGCACCCTACTAATCCATGGGTCTCCTCCTTCCTTTTCAGCGCCCATGCAGATGGGTCGCGGATCTGCTGTGACATCTCAGTACGATGGGGGTATTGTAGAGTCCACATGACCAACGATCGCTTCGTAGAGCGTCTCATCCCATCTATTCAAGTGCCCGACCCCCCACTGACACCAACGATGGGGCGCTATTCCTCCTCCCCACTGACACCAACGATGGGGCGCTATTCCTCCTCCCCACTGACACCAACGATGGGGCGCTATTCCTCCTCCCCACTGACACCAACGATGGGGCGCTATTCCTCCTCCCCACTGACACCAACGATGGGGCGCTATTCCTCCTCCCCACTGACACCAACGATGGGGCGCTATTCCTCCTCCCCACTGACACCAACGATGGGGCGCTATTCCTCCTCCCCACTGACACCAACGATGGGGCGCTTTTCCTCCTCCCCACTGACACCAACGATGGGGCGCTTTTCCTCCTCCCCACTGACACCAACGATGGGGCGCTATTCCTCCTCCCCACTGACACCAACGATGGGGCGCTATTCCTCCTCCCCACTGACACCAACGATGGGGCGCTATTCCTCCTCCCCACTGACACCAACGATGGGGCGCTATTCCTCCTCCCCACTGACACCAACGATGGGGCGCTATTCCTCCTCCCCACTGACACCAACGATGGGGCGCTATTCCTCCTCCCCACTGACACCAACGATGGGGCGCTATTCCTCCTCCCCACTGACACCAACGATGGGGCGCTATTCCTCCTCCCCACTGACACCAACGATGGGGCGCTATTCCTCCTCCCCACTGACACCAACGATGGGGCGCTATTCCTCCTCCCCACTGACACCAACGATGGGGCGCTATTCCTCCTCCCCACTGACACCAACGATGGGCGCTATTCCTCCCACTGACACTAATGGGGCACTATTCCTCCCACTGACACTAATGGGGCACTATTCCTCCTCCCCACTGACACCAACGATGGGGCACTATTCCTCCCCACTGACACAACGATGGGGCACTATTCCTCCCCACTGACACAAATGGGGCACTATTCCTCCTCCCACTGACACCTACGATGGGGCACTATTCCTCCCACTGACACTAATGGGGCACTATTCCTCCCCACTGACACTAATGGGGCACTATTCCTCCCACTGACACTAATGGGGCGCGATTTCTTCCCCACTGACACCAATGATGGGACACTATTCCTCCCCACTGACTAATGATGGGGCACTATTCCTCCTCACCACTGACACTAATGATGGGGCACTATTCCTCACACACTGACACTAATGATGGGGCACTATTCCTCACACACTGACACTAATGATGGGGCACCATCATTGGTCCCCAGTGACAGGAATAGTGCCCCATCATTCCCCAGTCAGTAATGGGGCAGGAATCCCACTGATTGCCCCATCATTAGTCAGTGGGAGGAATAGTGCCCCATCATTAGTCAGTGGGAGGAATAGTGCCCATCATTAGTCAGTGGGAGGAATAGTGCCCCATCATTAGTCAGTGGGAGGAATAGTGCCCCATCATTAGTCAGTGGGAGGAATAGTGCCCCATCATTAGTCAGTGGGAGGAATAGTGCCCCATCATTAGTCAGTGGGAGGAATAGTGCCCCATCATTAGTCAGTGGGAGGAATAGTGCCCCATCATTAGTCAGTGGGAGGAATAGTGCCCCATCATTAGTCAGTGGGGGAATAGTGCCCCATCATTAGTCAGTGGGAGGAATAGTGCCCCATCATTAGTCAGTGGGAGGAATAGTGCCCCATCATTAGTCAGTGGGAGGAATAGTGCCCCATCATTAGTCAGTGGGAGGAATAGTGCCCCATCATTAGTCAGTGGGAGGAATAGTGCCCCATCATTAGTCAGTGGGAGGAATAGTGCCCCATCATTAGTCAGTGGGAGGAATAGTGCCCCATCATTAGTCAGTGGGAGGAATAGTGCCCCATCATTAGTCAGTGGGATGGAATAGTGCCCCATCATTAGTCAGTGGGAGGAATAGTGCCCCATCATTGGTGTCAGTGGATGAAATAGTGCCTCATCATTGGTATCAGTGGGAGGAATCGTGCCCCCATCATTGGTGTCAGTGGGAGGAGTAGTGCCTCATCATTGGTATCAGTGGGAGGAGTAGTGTCCCATCATTGGAATACTATACTGAAATAGCATACCATATTGAAATCAAATCTGATGTTTTTTCATTTTTATTTGGTGTGCGTTGGAAGAGGGGTAGTCTTATACGGTGAGTATAGCTCAAACCCTATATTTTAACAGGAAAAGTAGGGGGTCGTCTTATACGCCCAGTCGTCTTATACGCCGGAAAATACGGTAATTCTGTCCAGACAAGAGTCTAGTAAACATCCCGGGTATGATAAAGTTTGAAACCTGAAATCGTAAATTATAATATAATAAATAATTATAAAAAAATAATAATATAAATGATAATTTAATTCAGTAATGTAATCAAACCAAAAACAATGAAATTTAAAATCGAGCGCCAAGTTCACTGAGCTCAGTCGCAGAATCGTTTTCAGTGTCTGATGACGAATTTCCCCACAAATCACTATCGCTCAATTTTGCAAGTGATTCTAATTCACTATCACTGCCTTCTAGCTGGTCTAAAACCGCTTTTGACTTAAAGGGACAGGTTTTGGATGTCATGGACGTTCTCATGTTTCCAGGCAGAAAGAACAGTAAAAGTGCAGGCAGGGCACAGGACAAAGTACTAGGGACAAAACTGAGGTGAAATGGTTTGATACAGTAATGTAATCCTAACAGATTACAATGTATTGTGTGTATGTGTCATATTTTTACTTTTTTTAATCTCCCTCCGGTTCCGCAACCCCCTGCGTCACGATGCTTGCAGGGAACGGGACCCGGAAGACGGATGCCGGCATCGGCTGGAGGACACAGCGGGAGGACATCGCAGGATTGCAGGACAAGGTAAGGATCGGGGGTTTGCAGGAGAAGCACTACAGTGTAATCCTGAGTGTGGCTCGGGGGTTACCACTTTTGGTACTGTAAATTAACCCTGAGTCACACTCGGGATTACCGCTAGGGGGTTAATGTCCCTTTAAATAGTTGGCTTGGGACAAGCTGGCCGAAATGAACTATTTACTGCACTAGCAAGTGTGCTTGCTGGGCATGCTGTCTGAACTGTGTGTAACCTCAGCTACATACAGCATACAGCAAAATAGAGTCAGGCTGAGCACTGCTCAGCCATTTAGACCCTGGATGTCTCCCCTTTACTCCACTGGATCTAATGCAGTGCACATCGCACTGCATTACATT